CAAGTAAAGAAACTCACAGGTGTATTCCCAACAGCAACACCAAACTTATTAGCAGCATTCACATCAACATTATTGTACCCAACAGCCATATTGCTGAAAGCTTTCCCTCCTGCCTTGCTCAATGCAGAAAACAATGTCTCCCCCCAATCTTCAGTCAACTGTAATTTGACAAAAGTAGATAAATAAAAAATATATATATATTTTTTTTTTTTTGGTAAAAGAAAAATCCTCATAGATAATGGGATGGGGTTCCACTAACATGAAGCGCACTATAAGCGGATAAAGTCCATATGAAGCCCAAATGGGGCTCCATCTCAAAACCAATTGGTCGAATGAGAAGTAGACCATTAGACTTATAAGGTGTGTCTATTTTCTATGTATGAACGAAGTGGGATAACTCACAAGTAATATTCTAACACGCCCCCTCACTTGTAAGTCATATATAAGAAAGCCCAAGCTCATATACGGAGCTGGGTGCTCCAAGCCTACTAGAAGCAGACTCCCATAAACGGGTACGTGGGGGAAAATGCGTACATCATCACACGATCCCAATAGAACCGATTCTGACACCATGAAAGAAACTAGAAAAACCCAAAACCCATGAACCCTTTCAACTCGATTTACAGAAAAAGTGAAGAAAGACATTAACTTTACCTGTCCAATGACTCCATCACACCTGTTACCAATCAAAGAAATTATGTCCTCAACGGACAGTATTGTTTTCTTCTCTGTGCATATCTGTAAGTAATAACCCAAAAAAAAAAAAAAAAAAAACCCAGTGGCCAAAGCATGAAAACAAGCAAGAAATTGCTGAGAAAGGCAAAGATTCACAGTGATTTGAATTTTTTTTTTCTTGAAAAAAAGGATAAGAAGTTTACTTCGAGACGACAATCTTGTTGAATCAAGAGGTTAATCCAACGGGTCCCAGGCATGGGTTTGGTGCTGATGACTCTGTATTTTCCATTGGGGTTGTGAATTTCAACCTGCAAAGGCTTCGCCATTTACAACAAATTGACTGTGTAATAACCGCGCGCGTCTTTGAGCTTGTGCCTACTGCTTTACATTGCAGTTTAAATTGAATTAAATAATTTTACAAAGAATAAATATTATAAATAATACTTGAACAAATCTTGGAGTAAGGGTTTTTAGGCCTCACGTTTGAAATGAGATAATGAAAATTATGGGTTGGCGACACGTTAGAGGGGAGCTATCTGTTTTCGCTAAGTGACAAGTTCATAAATTTTTATGATCTGAAAATTTTGAGCCACTTCTTGTGATTGAGAGATAAGCTGTGGCCAAAATGGAGAACATAAAGTCAGTGTGGTAGGATTTTGAGCTATCTGTTCGTCTAAGACTCGAGCTTCTTTAATTTATGACCTCAGTTCAATTCATTAAAACTCAAAACAATTTTTTTTATGTAATTTATTATAAATTATAATTGTTTTTTTCGATACAGAAAAGGAGGCAAAACTTAAGTACAACGAAACCAACAAATTTCTAGGATACGACACCCTTACCACATTATGAGCAAGTTAATGGGTATGTTTGGTTCAAGGGAGGGGAGGGGAGGGGAGGGGAGGGAATTTAATGGAAGGGAGGGGAGGGGAGGGGAAGAGAGGGAAAATAATTTATCTTGTTTGGATGGATTTTGTAAGAGGGGAGGTGAAGGTAAATGATTAACCTTGTTTGGTTAGAAGATGGAAGGGGAGGAAAAATAATGTTAGAATGACAAATATATCTTTAATGATGTAAGGAACAACAAAAATAAAATAATTCACAGTAAGGTCAAAAGAGTAATTTGTTGTTAAAATTTTCCCTCCCCTCCAAATTCCCTCACTTTTGGAGGGGAGCACATTTTCCCTTGGAGGAG